TGAAGTCCAATTTATCTATTTTATCTTATGTCCCTTGTGCTTTTGGTGTCAATATCTAAGAATCCATTGTTAAAAACTAAGTCCCGAGGGAGGCGGGGCCAAGATGGTGAAGTAGTCAGACGCTTCTAGTGGACCCTCTTACAACAAAGACCAGAAAAAACAAGTGAATTGATTATATATGGCAACCTGAGAGCCCTGAACATCAAAGGCAGAGTTGAGGAACTGGACCGAGCGGCAGGCGGAGGGAGAGACAGTTCGGAAGCAGTGAGGAGTTGCCAGACCTGACCCGGTGAGAGCCTGAGCCCTTCAGGCCTGAGCAGCTCGGGAGTGAGCGGTGAGGCTGGCAAGCACTGGTGCTCAGGAGGCACATTTTGCACACTGGGAGAGGCTCAGTGCCAGAAAGTCTACACAGCCACCCAGAACCAGTGAGAAGCAGCCCTGGATTGGCAAAAGATAAGTAATTGCGTCCGGCCTACCACGCAGATCAAAAACACCCCCCTTAGGGAAAACCTCTCTCCCATTTACCTACCTGCTCCCTGCTCTGCACTGGGTCCTGGACTGGCTTCAGCAATTGCTGAGTCCCCTGGGCTGGAAGCAGGATCTGTCACATGCCCAGAGCCATTCTCCCTGCCTTGGAGAGTGAACAAATTAACAAACAGAGGGAAAAATAAACTGCCAGCTCCTCTAAGCCAAGAACCCAGGGTAGGCACAGCTCCTTTGCCTAGGCACAGGTATAACGGATCCATGGACTTTGAGTGCCTTTCCCCCGCACAGACTTGTGTGAGCCCATCTCAACAGCATAGGCCCTCATTACCGCAGTACAACAGGGTATATACCGAAAGTCTAACTTCATCTGTTCCAGCTGTGAAGTGGCAGGTTCTTGACATTTGACACTGCTCTGCCCATTAAGCAGGGTCTTCACCTACCCACACCAGGGGCCTGAGGACTGGTGGCTCCACCCATGCCACCTAGCCACCTGCAATCGGGGCCCATGAATAAGAGGTGTCCTCCAGTCCTTAGAGCCAACATTAGGTGCTCACAGTCCGGCTGCAAAACCCACCCACCTACGTGCTCTACGAACAGGGACACGCCTTCCTCCTGGACATTCAGGGGCAGCCGTCAGCCCCCTGTCTTGCTCAGAGTGTGTACCCCTGCTGCAGCCAGATGCCTGTTCCTACACCAATCACCCATGCCTGTCTAGGACTGTAAGTGAGAGCTTACACCACACAGTTGGAGGCTACCCACCTGGGCACCTGAGCTGAATCCATACAAGAGGAGTGGGCAGACTCCTGAGCTTACATACCTAGGAACAGATCTAACCACCAGTGACAGGACATTAGAGCTTCAAAGGTGCCAATAATCAAGCTAGCTCATACAAGCAGCCTATTTGGACATATCAAAACAAAACAAGAAGCTAGGACACAGTAAGCAAACATAAAAATAATAACTTATTGATGGCTCAGAAACAACAGTCAATATCAAATCACATAAAGAAGCAATCCATGATGGCTTCAGCAAGCTCCCAAAATAAAGAATGTAGAAATTTCCCAGAAGAGGAAAATTTATTGGAATTACTGGAGGCAGAACACAAAAGATTAATATACAGAACTCTTCAAGAAATTAGGAAGGAAATTAAGCAAAATGCAGAACATGCAATAAAAACTAAGTCTCGAAGCATTAACCCTATGTTTTCTTCCAAGAGTTTTACGGCTTTAAAGCTGGATCCGTACCTCACACCATATACAAAAATTACTTCAAAATGTATCAAGGGCCTAAATGTGAGATCTAAAACTGTATAGTATATACGTAATATCTAAAAAATTCAATAAAAAAAAAGTTTCATGTTTTAGTTCTTCCATTTAGGCCCTTGAGCTATTTTGAGAAACTTTTCCTACTTGGTGTGAGGTATGGTCAAGTTCATTCTTTTACTTCTGAAAATCAACACCATTTATTAAAGAGACTGATCTTTTCTGACTGGATAGGCTTAGCACCTTGTCAGAAATCTATGGGCATAGATGTATGCGTTTATTTCTGGACTCTCAATTCTATTCCATTAGTATATATGTCTATTATTATACAAGACTGTTTTGATTACTGTAGCTTTTAATATGTTTTCAGATCAGGAAGTGTGAGTCCTCCTACTGTGTTCTTCTTTTTAATGATTGATTTGGCTATTCTGGACCCCATGCAGTTCTATATAACTTTGTAGACTGGCTTTTCCATTTCTGCAAAGAAGGCTGTTGGAATTTTGATACGTATTGCGCTGAATCTATAGACTGCTCTCGGTAGTACTGACATCTGAACAATATTAAGTCTTCCAATCCATGAACACAAAATGTTCTTCCATTTATTCAGTTGTTCTTTAATTTCTTTCAGTAATGTTTTACAGTTTTCAATGTACAAGTCTTTCACCTCCTTGGTTAAATTTATTTCTAGATAGTTTACTCTTTTAGATGTTATTGTAAATGGAATTATTTTCTTAACTTTCTTTTCAGAATGCTCACTGCTAATATATAGAAACCCAGCTGATTTTTGTGTTTACCTTGTACTTTGTCACGTCACTGAATTTATTTATTGGCTCTAATAGCTTTCTTGTGGATTCTTTAGGGTCATCTAGATATAGAATCAAGTCATGTGTGAAGGGCATAGTTTTATTTCTTCCTTCCCAATTTGGGTATCTTTTACTTTTTATATTTGTTTGCTTGTTTATTTTGCCTAACTGTTCTGGCTAGGACTTCCAGTACAATATTGAATAGCAATGGTGAGAGGAGACATCCTTGTCTTGTTTCTGATCTTAAGGGGAAAGCTCTCAGTCTTTCTCCACTGAGTATAATATTAGCTGTAGGTATTTCATAAATACCCTTTATCAGACTGAGAAATTACCCTTCTATTGTAGCTTGAGTGTTTTTATCACTAAAGGGTGCTGGATTTTGTGAAATGCCTTTTCTGCATCAATTCAGATGATCATGTGGTTCTCTTCCTTTGTTCTATTAATGTAATGTAGTACATTAATATTCTAATGTTGAACCACCCTTGCCTTCCTGAGAGAAAGCCCACTTGATCATGATGTATAAACCTCGTGGAGTCAGTGTGCTAGAACTCTGTTGAGGATCTTTGCATCTGTATTCATAAGCGATACTGGTCTGTAGTTTCTTTGTGGTGTCTTTGCTGGCTTTGGTATCAGGGTAATGCTAGCTTCATAGGATGAGTTAGGAAGTGTTTCCTCCTCTTCCGTTTTGTGGAAAAGTTTAAGAAGAATTTAAGTACTTCCTCTATAAATGTTTGGTAGAATTCCCCAGTGAAGTCCAGGGCTTTTTTCTGTTGTTCTTGTTGTGCTGTTTTAACTGATTCAATCTCTTCACTTTTTATGGGTTCGTTGAGATATTCTATTTCTTCTTAAGTCAGTGTAGGAAGTTTATGTGTTTTAGGAATATGTCCATTTCCTCTAAGTTACCTAACTTGTTGGCATAAAATTGTTCCTAGTATTCTCTTACAATCCTTTTTCTTTTATAGGGTCAGTTGTAATGTCCCCATTTTCATTTCTAATTTTAGGTTTTTGCATTTCCTTTTTTTGTTAGTCTAGCTAGAGTTTTCTTAATTTTATTGCTCTTTTCAAAAGACCAACATGTGGTTTCATTGATTCTACTGTTTTTCTATTCTCCATTTCATTTATCTCTGTTCTGATCTTTGTTATTTCCTTTCTTATTGTAGCTTGGGCTTGGTTTGCCCTTCTTTTTTATAGTTCTGCAAGTTATAGAGGTGGATTATTGGTTTTAGATCTTCTTTTCTAATGTGTTTATAGCTACATTTCCTCTGAGCACTGCTTTCACTGTATCCCATAAGTTTTGATAAGATGTGCTTTCATTTTCATTTAACTCTAAGCATTTTCTGATTTCTTTTTATTTCTTCGACTTACTAGTTGTTTAACAGTGTTGTTTAATTTCCATATATTTGTATATTTTCCAGCTTTGTTATTTATTTCTAGTTTGATTCCATTACAGTCACAGAAGATGCTTTGTATATGATTTTAATTTACTGAGACTTGCTTTGTGACCTAACACGTGGTCTATTCTAGAAAATGATCCATGTGAACTGCAGAAGAATGTATATTTTGCTGTTGTTGGATGGAGCGCTCTATCTCTGTTAGGTCTAGTTAGTTTATAGTGGCATTCAGGTCCTCTATTTCTTTACAGAACTTCTTTCTAGATGTTCTGTCCAATATTGAAAGTGGTGTATTAAAGTCTACAACTGTTATTGTAGAGTTGTCTATTTCTCTGCTCCATTCTATCAGTGTTTGCTTTAAATATTTTTGGGCTCTGATGTTAGGAGCATATATATTTATAACTGTTATATCTTATTGATGAATTGGTCCCTTTATCATTATATAATGTCCTTCTCTCTTATAAAATATCTTCATTTAAAATCTATTTTATCTGATATTAAAATCACCACCCCAGCTCTCTATTGGTTACTATTTCCCCATAACCTTAGGCTTCTCTAAGTACAGTATAATCATGCCATTCCCTGCAAGGCCTTGAAAGACATACTTATGGACTAAGGAACATGAAATTTCTAAGCCACCATTGCTGTTGCAGCTATCAGTATGGTCTCCTTTGTTTAGATTTGAGCTGTCATTTGGAAAGCCAGAGATAGCCCCTGAAATGCTGTGAGGATCCTCTCTGACCACAATTCTGATGCTGTACAGTTTACACATAGTGTCCCCTATCAGGAATCCTTCTGCAAAGCTGAATAAACTGCTGCCAAAATGACATATTAGGGCCTGTGATGGTTAATGTTATGTGTCAACTTGGCTAGGTCATGATTCTCAGAATTACATAATTATTCTCCATTTTGTAAGCTCCATAAGTAATATTATCTGATCACCTCCGTGATGTGATCTGATGTGATCACCCAATCAGTTATAAGGGGAGTTTCCTCAGGGGCATGGCCTGTACTTATATATATCTATATCTATCTATCGACGTTCTGACAAAGCTCACTTTCTTGCTCTGGATCCTGTTTCTGGGTCATCATCTGACCTCTGGTTCTTGGGACTTGAGCCAGCAGCCTACTGTCCGACCTGCTGATTCTGGGTCCGTCAGCCCCTGCAACCAAACCACTTGAGTCAGGAAAAGCCTTCAGCTGATGCCTGACCCACGGACTTTGGAATCTGTCAGCCTTCACAACTGGGTGAGTCAGTTCCTTGAGATAAATCTCCCTCTCTATATACATATATATATTACATGCTTCATTAGTTTTGCTTCTGTAGTGAACCCAGCCTACTAAGATAGGGCTCTTGTGAATCTGTATGTTAAACCCTAGACCACTAGTGTGGTCAAGCACTAAGGCCATTTCATGACCTAATGAATCTGTTGTACAAAACACACATCAAAAATTCAAGAAACTACACTGTATGTAGGAACAGCAAATTAGTTTTTTTAAAAAAAACTAGAAAAACGCACAACAATTTTTAAAAGGGGGAACCTAGAAAAATAGAGCTTCAATCACGACTTAAGTTTTTTTTAGTACCGTTCAATTATAAATTTTAAAAAGATTATGTGGGTTATAAAATTTAAAAGTATACTAAAAACACCGATTTACTAAAATCTGAGAAAAAACTCATTACACTGCAGATCGTTTTGTCACATTTATGTGAGTGTTCGGGTCACAAGCTGAAAGGCCACAATTTAGGGGGTCCACCGCACCCATCCGAAATGGAACAAAGCAAGCCAGGTGGCAGGAAGGGGCTTCGGGGGCCAGGGCCCTGGGCTCGGACTGGAGCACATCGGGCACTCGGGCCGGGGCAGAGGGGCCGGAGGGGCTGTGCTCGTCCACTCGGGCCGCTGTCACCCGGGCCGCCGAGGGGCTCGCGCGGGTCCCCTCACAGACGCCCACGGCCC